GGTCTCCAAAGCTGAACCTTAACAGGAATTCACTTCAAGAATTTATTGTCCGTTGTCTTTTTCCTTGTGTTAATCTCATTCTAAGTGGGCACAGCCATTCAATTCTTGTCACTGGAGACAATACCACGTTACTACAGCAGCATTTTCTCATTACTGTCTTCTCATGGTGACAAAAAGACAAACCGAAGGCAAAGATACGATAGGAATGGTGGTTTTAGGGGATTATTGCGTAATGACAGAAGTTTCCGACTGTTAGATTGGATAAGGTATAAGAGTCATTCATCCAAGTCGATGGTTTACCGGCAAGTATACATCTCTATCCTTGCCTATGCAGTTTTTGGTTTGCCAGGGGAGCAATATTCAATTTATCTACCAAATAAAAGAATAGTGGGGTTGGTAGGTTTTTTATTGCAGAAGTGGTAGGGTTTGCCCACCAACCAGCAGAAATAAATCATATCCATAACCTGCCAAATGCTCCCACATTCAAGTTTCAACCCAACCGGTTTTGACTGTTGGATTTTAAATAGGTATTTTCCAATTCAAACATTGTGATCTACGAACATTACTTGGCATTTCATGCGTTTAAATTTAAAAAAAAAAAAAAAAAAAGCACAGTTGCTATTACAGGAACACATGAAAACAGCGAACCCACCTTTCAAAAACCTATGAATAGGAACCAATCTACTAGCCAAACGAAAGATGATATTATAACAGGTGCAGATTTTGGTAACCTATGTCACAAAAATTGCTTCAGCGGGCACTCTTCCGTACAAAGCACAGAGTGTTGTGGGGTGGGGGGGACCGGGGAGGAAAAGACTCCAATTCCAGTCCTCCCATGGTTACCATTAGGGAAAAACAAGTTGCTTTTGACAAAAACAAGTATAAATTATGAATATGAGCTGATTCCTGAAATTGGAACTTGCTCCTGTTCTGAACTTTATCCTGTTATGTCTCTGTTAAGACTTTGGGACTTTGGGATACCAAGTTCTCATATGTACTCTCATTCATCTATGATTCTACACCTTAAAAAAAATGTGATATGTACATACAGAGTTTGCCTAAGGACATCCTTTAAGAAAAATCTTTAGGCTTGCTTGATAGATACGACCCTGAAAAAGTCGCAGGCAAGTTCCTGAGAAAGCTAAACCAATCATATACCATAGTCTCACAACTTAGATTCTTCTCTTGTTTTCATTTTCTGTTTTTGACTCTGATATCGTATGGTCTGACCTTCAGACACCATCTATAGAAATCATGTGCAGTTGGGGCAGGTTTACCAAATTTGGCCATCTATGTGTGATCACCTTCCTCGAGTCTAGGACTGGTTGGTTTATCGAACCCCAGACAACACATCTACCAGTCATGATCCTTATTCCTTCTTGATGGAATCATCTAAGCTAGCGAGATTCAGTGTTGATATTTCATTGCCTGTAATCAAGAATTTTCTCCGTATCCCATTAGATGAAAACGAATAATTCTGTCAGGACAAACTAGACACTGTAAACAAGTACTAGGTTGTCTATTTATAAGCTACATAGCCTCTGAAACCCCTGTTGGCAAATTATCTACCTTCAGTTTGACCAACAGTTGGGCCAACACTTGTTTTCCTCTAGGCAATCCAAGCCTTTTCCATGGTCAAGAGGATGCGTTAAGATCTGGTTAGGCAACATTTGGTATTGCGATTCGGGAGCTTTTCAAACTGCGTTTAGATTGAAAAGCATCGATTAGGTGCTTTTGACATGCTTTTCGATGGTCTTGAGTCTTGACATCCTCTTATCAAAACCATCGAAAAGCACCCAAAAATCATCAATTTGATGCCTTTTCAGATGGAAAGCACTTTCATCCGCATTACCAAACACACAATCAGTGACTCCTAAGTGAACAAATTTTAGTTTCACATTTCCAACGCAAAAAAAATGTCTCTCATGGTGATAGGTTGATCACCATATACAATAAGGTTTGCAAATGCAGTGAATAATAAAGCCACGAGCCTTAAGATTTAGAGAGATTATTCAGTAAATCTGGCATACTACCCTTCTCTTACATTTACATGATGTCAACCAGTTGTTTTGACAAGTGGATCTGTATAACTGTGAGAGGAAAAAACAATACACCCAACCACATGAACCATTTTCCTAAGATATATTCCTACCATCAGTAATTAACATTCTTGCAATCATGGTTGGTTCAAGTATGTTATATTCAGAATCTTGTCAGAAGATAAAAGGCATAGAATAGGTATTAACAGAACATGTCAAGCAAGAACTGATTCGGCCTGGTTTTAGTTTGTTCCCGCTGTTTTGCCTAAAGCCATAGTTCTAATTGGTTGTTAGGATTCTACAGAAATCCCCATAAATTGCTTATAGGAACTCAAAATTTTGTGATATGTTCAGATCCACCTGGTGACGTTTTTTTTTTTTTTTTTTTCCTTTTTAATAAATCAAAAAAGATTTTAGTAATGAGAAAATGAACACAAGCAATTCCAGGGAGTCGAGTCCTGTTGCTACTAAGCAAGCTGATATCAACATTTTCTCCAACCTCAATTGGAGAGAGATCAAAATTGCTGAAGTCTGGAGAAAATATTTTTTGCTTTCAGTTCCAGTGTGATGCCCATTTTCTCCCCTACTTCCAAACAACGGAACCTTTCCTGCCCAATTCACTCTTCCTATCTTCATCTCTACAGAACACTGTATTTGATAAAGCACAGTTATAATAGAAATGGTCCCTAATAGAGCACTCTATTGAAAACACACTGCAGCCACTGATCCTGGACAACATCAATATTACCAAGGGGGCCTATACAATAAATCACATGTACGCCAATGTTGATTCTATCAGGACTCCTATAAAAGGAGAAAGCGGTCAAACAAAATTCAATGATGGAAACAAACGCTCATGCTTTGGACTGCACTAGTGATATTTACACCTTTGGCATTCCCTTTTTACTCAATGGCCCCATTTATACTCTAATTATAACTCATCAGCATAAATTAGTGATGTGGTGAAAGACTAATAAAGAAATTTCTCACACAATCACAACTGGACTTTCTACATGCAGAGAATCACAGTTGGTTCAAGGTTGTGGAAAGGCAGAATGTGATAAGAGGATAATATAGCTAAGACAGCTACTGGCATATGGAAATTCTACAGAATATCCAGTCTGCTTGGAAAATTCCCACTAGAGAACAGATAAAAACCAGAACTGAAGAAGAGAAGATGATAAATTTCCACTTTGCTATGGAGTTGGAGACTGCAGGAAATATCTTCTGCGCCTGGTACTGACCAAGAAAATTATATTTTTCACAGGAAGTTGTCTACAGGATGTGTGTCCTCTCAAAAATTGCTTCAAACCTAGCAGCCTGGGGATTCACTGCTCCTGGCAGCTATTCTTGCAGACAGTAATATTACTTTAGAAGCAAAATACAGAATGAAAGGATAGTTATTAATCCAAGGGCTGCAGTAAACTCCATGCAAGAAGCTCTTGGAGCTTAAACCAAGCAAAGATATGATACCTTTCTGGCTCAAAATATGGTCAAATGTGGCAAAGATTCAAAATTTTTGTTCTTAGAAGCATGCTATTTTCAACTCAAACTGCTGCTATTCTGCCAATCTTATTCTTATCCTTTGGGAGCAGAACCAAGCTGTACTGTTTGACATCCAGAAATTTTAGCATCTTGGATGATGTTTTTGCTTCATTTTACTTCTTTCAAACTTTAATTCAATAGAAGCTTTAGAAAGATAAAATCCTTCATATCCTCATGCTCAGTCTCATCAACATGACATTATGTCTGATAATTTCGTAATTGTCCCCTGTAACAATACTAAATTTTGAGTGGCCAAATTTCTCTTCCTTTAGGCTATGTTTGTTAGGAAGGATGGATTGCGTAAAGGAGAAGGACGGAGAGGAGAGAAGATGGATGGCAAGTTGTTTGCATAACAAGGGAGGGGAAGGATGGGAGTCAATCCATTCAAATTGAAAGCACTGAAAATTACAAAAGAATGGAAGGATAGGTACCAATCCGTCCAAATTGGGGGGATTGAAAAATTATATGTGAGGAAGGATTGGAGGGATCTCTCCAATCTTTCTTTGGGTTCTTATCTTTCTTGCCAAACAAAGAATAAATCCAATCCCTCCTCTCTAATCCCTCCCCTCTCATCAATCCTTCCTTAGTCCCTCATGATAAACATAGAGTCAAGGAAAATCAAGTGTTCATATAGCACACCAGATCCAACATTTACACGTGTTCTTTTCAAAGGACCATAACTAAGAAATGCACTGAAAGTAGCTATCATACTAATTGTAAATCCGCGAGTATTTGGTCCCTCTATTTATCCAGCAAGCCTATTGAGCATGTATTCTGACCTAAAGATATTCCACAAACCCCATGCTCTATGCCTTTCCGCATTGAACACAGGCCTTCACACAATTTGAAGCAGTGTCAATGAAACATTGTCCCAGCAACTAAATCCAAACTGACGAGCAGTTTGGTCTCACTGTCAGCAAAATCATTTCCTAAGCAGTCCTACATTTGTCTTTTTGATCAACAATACACCCTCTGTTTTATCTAACAGATTGGCATAAAATCACAAAGGAAAAAAAAATATTCATTTTATGAACTCATAAAGACATAAATCAAGAGTTTCTGGGCCATTTTCCGCAATAAATCTTTCTAGGCAATATTCCTCAAACCCTTCTTATTTTCCATAAGAAAGTGTCCAGATCTCTCTGAAACCTATCAAATTAGTTTTGTATCTGACACAAGTAACGTCCTAACTTAAATCCGTAACTGGAAACTTAAAAGAGTACAGAGTTGAGGAGTTCGAAAAAAGTTAGTGTGTGAATAGCATACCAAAAAAAGCAATATTCAAAGGAAAAGAAGCACAATTCCAAAAGATGCAGCATTCTATTGATTGTCATACTATTATAGTACACAAATATGCAACAAATCAATCTACTATCATCAACCAATACATAAGATGAAGACGGTTAGAATCTCACTCTACATGAACTCAGAAGGAGAATTGGCATCAGGCTTCCCACTGTCACCCAATCCTCCAGGATGTTGTAGACTCTGCAAAACCTGAGGAGGCAACCCACCCAATCCACCACCTAAACCATCATTTGCCGACCCAAAAAACTGGCAGATAAACCTAGCCATAACTCCAAGTATCTGCATTTGGTTCTGGCATGCATCAGCATGTATTTGCATCATTGCCTTCTCATGCTCAATTTGCATCCCCAACATTCTCTCCCGCCACTCCATCTCCTCCTCCTCCCTCTTCTCCTCCATTAGTCTCCTCTTTCTCCTCTCCTCATCCAACTCTCTCTCGACCCTCACCCTTCTCTCAAATTCCCTTCTAGCCCACATCAACTCTCTCTCTTCCAGCTCCATTTCCCAATTCTCCACCCTCTCCTCCTTCTCACTCCGCCACTTATCTCTCTGATACTCCAACTCCCTCCTCCTCTCTTCACTCTCTAACACACTCTTCTCCCTATTAAACTCCCTTTCTCTTCTTTTCTCCTCCCTTCTCAACACCACATCCCTCAAATCCATCACTTGTGCACCAAGCAAACCCAATCTCCTATTTCCTCCAAAACCCTTCTTCATTTTCGCCTTTCGACCAATACCCATCTCCCCATTTCCTTTCTCTCCCCCAAATTCACCATCTTCCTCACCAGCACCAACATTATCATTGCCATCATCACCATTACCATCCCCTTCTTCTTCCCCATCTTCCTCTTCTTGATCATCTTCCTCTAAATAATCCTCACTATCAATCCCAAACCCCAAATCCCCACAATCCTTAAACAAATCACTATCACCACCACCACTGCCACTTAACTTCTTGCTCTTAACTTCAAGCTCAACATCACCAAAAACCTCTTTATACTTCAAGAAATTCTCCCAATGATTCTCCCCATCTTTCCAATTAAACTCATCCCTTGATATTCTAATCTTTTGCTTCACACCCAAATATTGATGCCTCATGTTTTGAACTTTTATAGACACATCACGCCATGACCATTTAAAAGGGTAGCTAATTGGGTCTTGAAGATGGTGTATGGTGTTAACATGGTCTGCAATTGGACGAAACTTTTTCTCTCTGGTTTTCAGCTTCGATAAAGTGCCTGAAGTAAGGAGATCAGAGTATTTGGACAAAAGGGTTTGCTCTTCAAGCTCTGACCATTTCTTTCTCTTCATGCTTTTTGGTGGGCTTTTCCTTGTCTGTGTAGCGAAAAGTGTCCGTGTTTGTGGAGATTGAAGTGGAGGGTTGTCTGAAGACGCAATAATGGAGAGGTTTTTGTTTGGGGGTTGAAATTTGCAAAATACAAATAGCTGCCGGGTTAGTGGTACGTTTGGTAACTTTACTTTTTATTATCTTATTTTGGTCCCTATTTTTTTTTTAATATAATCCCTGTACTTCATGTTCTCTTAACAATCTCGTCTCTGCATCACCATGTTTTTAATGGTCGGAAATCAGCTGATGCCCCTTTACTTTTAATTTTTGCTCACCCGGATCCCTCTACATATGATTTCGATCCACAGCAACACTTATATTTGGATAAGGTGATGCTTATTAATTCCTCCTTTTATTTCATTATCCAAGTTTATTAGTTTGATTAATTGTCGTTAGTTGATTTAAATAAAGGATCTAAATTATGTCATCTGTACAGTTCATAATAAATAATAATAATAAATGCATTAAATTCTCAAAATTAATTGAAAGAAAACAAAAAATAATCTAGTTATTAATATACATGTTTAAATAATATAAAATATATTAAATTTAAATAATATACAAAAAATTGTTACCAAATAAAGTTAATTTTTTATTTTTATTTACTAATTCTAACTTATATTATCTCCTTTCTTCTTCAATAATAATAATAATAACAACAACAACAATAAATAAATAAATAATTTGTATCAATTTTTTTCCAAACATATTTTTAACTTAAATTATCTTTATCATAGCTTAAAGGTATTTCCTCCCAAACCATTAGAGTTGCGATAAATTAAGACTTATACTATTATCTTAGTCAATTTTAATTTTGAACTATCATATTTGAAAAAAATAATACATCTTTATTTGATTTAATGGTGGTATTGACCAGAACCTCTTTAAAAGAAATTAAAATTTTGTTTTTAAAGGTTTTCGATCAATTATAACTCAATCAACACAGAAAGACGATATTTGTCTATAACACAATCTTTTAATATCAAAATTTGACTATATAAGATATAAGTCTCAATCTATCATAATCTCAATAGCTCAAAATTGAGATTATAACTCAGAAGAATTCTAAATCATTAGTTCTCTAAGCATTACGTTGCCAACATAACTCGAGTTTCCATACTTGAAAGCAACCCTATCCTCACTGATTAGTAAGTTTGCATTATTTTCTTTTGGGACCACAAGAAATTTCCATTTTACACTTTCAGACAACCGAAAACAAACGCAGATACTAACCTCCAAGTCAGTCCACAGAGTCTTTTGCTCAATTCGCAAATCTCTAACTCAGATTTTACCCCACCGTGCACTGATATCTCCAAACTACCCATACACATGAGCAAACTCTATTTTATCCCCCATAAATTCAACAGTTTCCCCTTCAGTCCCTATAGAGTCTTAATTTTTTCTCTGCCATTTTTAAGGTATCAAAGAGCTTTAATTTAACGTCTACTAATATTTAAATAATAATAATAATAATATTTTTTTTCCATATGCAGCCCTCAATTAGTTGTTAGACAATTAAAGAATTAGCATTAGTAAGTAACTAGTCGCTTACTCACACTACACTGCTGATGCGATAGAAAAAATCATTTTAAATTTTTTTAATTATAATTTTCTATTTAATTAATTTTTTAATTTTTTTATAAATTTTTTTCCTAAAAAAAACATAAACCGTTCTTTTTTATGAATTTATTTTAAAATAAAGAATATAATAATTTTAACTAAAATATTAATCAAGAATTAAAAGCAATTTTTGTGTGTGTTTTCCATATTTTTTTGCTTAACAAGTATGATTTATTCTTCTTTATTTAGAGATTCTTAAATAAAAAATTATAATAATTTAAACCTAAAATATTAATTAAGAATTTAAAAGCAAATACTTTAAAATTATATTTGTTTATAAGAATGTATCGAAAATTTTTTTCGAGTATATGTATTAGATCTATATATATTTGTTTACAAAATAATCAACAAAATTAACATAAAAAACTATATTTGAATAATTGATTGGTTCCTTTAAAAAATTATTTTAATTATTTTATTTCAAATAAATTGGTCCTATGATGTTAAAAATATATATTCATTGTAAATAATTTATACTATGTAGGAAGATATATAATTAATTTTTTAAAAAATTAACTATTTAATAGTTTTTTTATATGTCTTGATCATACCTAATGAATTGAGATAAATTATTTGAAACACGCTTTTAACCTTTTGGAATAAAATAATTATATATTTATATATGTGCAACTGTCATTTAAAAATTCTAAGAATTCATGATATATATTATACTAATTTACTTTTTAAAAAAAGAAAAAAAATCATGTTTTAAAATTTTATTCTAAAATTCAAATATAGAGAAAAATAAATTATATTTATCGGTAAATAAAATTTGATATAAAATATTAATTGAATGAGAATTTTCATCAAAAATAATAAATTCAAATAATGAAATTTAAATGATAAGAGTAATATAAGCTGAAGTGTGTATATATATATATACACGGTACACGAAAATGAAAGAAAAATAAAAAATAAGGATTAAAAAAAATGTTACAACATGCGGAATGAAAAAAACTGTTAAATTTACATATTAATTTCCAATAACACACAAAAATTACTTAAGTTGACATCAAGTGAATAGTAATTTTGTATACATTAATAGTAAGTAAATAAGAATTTTAGATATATGAATGGTTTGGATTCTCGTGCTATGTCGTGGACTCGAACTAAATATATTTGTTCAAGTTTGATAACATATATTATGTCATCGATTAATTAAATATATATTAAATTAAATATAAAAGATAAAATTTGAATAAAATTTGAAGTCAAAAAAATATGATTTATTCTTTCTTATGCATTTATTCTTAAATAAATCTCATAATAAACAAATTTTAACATAAATTTTCTTAAAAAAATCTTAATAATTTTTTTCATTACATTGCATCGGAGAAATAAAGCAATAATTAGTATAAACAATTGTGAAAATTAACAAATAAAACTTTTTTACTTATGAGAAAATTATTTTTTAAATATATAAATTTGATTTATATATATTTCTTTATAAAATAATGAATAATATTAGTATACAAAATTGTATTTGAATTGTTAGGCGGTTATTCTAAAATATTATTTCAATTATTTTATTTTAAAAAAATCATTTTAAATAGTAAAAAAGTAATAGCAAATAGTTGGTATTATGTGTATATATGCATAGTTGATTTCTAATAGCATCAATGACTCTAATACTATTATCTTCGATACATCATGATTGTACTCAATAGGTGAGAATGTATAAAATAAATTAAAAAATCAAATGGTAAAATATATATTGAAGTTAATAAAGTGCAATAAAAATCATAAAATTGATTTCGATAAAATTTGATTACGTAAAAAATAAGAAAATAAAATACATTTATTCAATTTTTAAAATTTGATTATATAAGAATTAAGCAAGTAAAAACAGATATTAAAAAAACTTATCCGAATTCATACATAGATAAAAATAAGTCATATTTATTAATAAATAAAATTATAAAAAATAAGAATAAAAATTAACTTGATGAGAATTTTTATCGAAAAAACCAATTTTAAACAATAGGAGTTCTTTATATTTATTCTAAAATCTAAAAACATATCATATAAATATAAAAAATATTGTATATATTACATAATCATCGGTTTGTGTAGAAAAAAAGTAACGATTGATTTTTTAAAATTGTAACACCTAATCAAATAAAAAAAGAACATAAATTGATGAAAAAAAAAAGCAAAGGAAAAAAAGGCATGAGTAGTGTTATATAATTATCGGTTTGTATGAAAAAAACAACAATTGATTTTTAAAATTTTTTACATTTAATCAAATAAAAAAAGAACATAAATTGATGGAAAAAAGCAAAAAAAAAAAAAAAAAAGCGAAGGAAAGAAAAACATGATCGAGTGCATTGGTTAGAGGATTAGATTTTTTATTTTAAAATTTAGAGACCAAAATGAAACAATAATAAAAAAAATTTTAAATAAATTAAAAAAAACCTAAATTAATGAAAAAAAGCAAAGAAAAAAAAAGACATGTATAGTAAAACAATTTGAAACAAAAAAAGAAAGAAAAGAAAAATATGTCGTAATAAAATCCAAAAACATATCGTATGAATATAAAAAATATCGTATATGTTATATAATCGTTAGTTTGTAAGGAAAAAAGTAATGATTGATTTTTTAAAATTTTAACACCTAATTAAAAAAACATAAATTAATGAAAAAAAGAAAAAAGAAAAGAAAAGACATGAGTAGTGCATTAGTTTAGGGATTAAAATTTTAGAGACCAAAATGAAATTACCTGAAAATTAAAAAAAAAACCTGACTTGAAAGAAAAAAAAAATAAACAAAGGAGGAGAAAAAGAAAATACATGTATTCACAAAAACTTGAAAAAAAAAAAAAAGCACACAATACTCGGAAAAAAAAAAGTGAACAGTGGATGAAGCAAATTAAAAAAAGAAAAAGAAAACAACACCTTGAAACGAAAAAAAAAAAAAAAAAAAGAAAAATGTGAACGCTACTCGGGGGAAAAAAATAAAAAATTAACAAAGACGAAGGGCTGTAATTTGGAGGTGTTTGAACATGCTCACTGACTCACACTTGAAGCTCCACTTGACATCATTCTGCTTTGAACGTAGCATCCCCATTGATCATTCGATACATATATGCAAAAGAAAAAATAAAATCAAACTACTAATGCGTGTTTGCTCGGAGCCGAACTCGGGTCTACTCCTTGGAAAGGAATTATCTTAACCGTAGAACCAAGAACGCTTGGTTGTGCTTGAATTACAAAATATATATATATATATAAAATTTGAAAAGGAGTCAAAACCCCATGTCTTTTAGAGATATAGTAATAGTTGGTGAAATAAAAAAGTCGTTTTATCACAATAGATTGAATTAATCATCACTATAAAAATGAAAAATTATTCTAATTTTTTCTTGTGATATTTAAATGATTTTTTCTATTTCACTTTTTTTACCTTTTTCTTTCAAACTTTCCGTAGATAATATCTCATGAGACTCCTTAAGACATTTCAAAAAATGACCTACCGTTAGTTTTCCTTAACTATTTAACTGATAATGAATTTTTTAACAAATATAAACTATAAGAATCTTATTGAAATAATTTTGGCTTTACGAGGACTGAAATGTAGTTTACCTTAAACAAACAAATTCCACCCGCCCTAAAATCCGCAGTGTCATTTTCGTCATTCCATGACAAAGATTCAGTATAAACGAACAACACATCAAACCCACGGAATCGCAAATTGCTATATAATATTAATAGATACTCTCTTTCTATGCTACTTCGTCCTCCGTTTTCTTGCCGTGGAATCCCTCGAGAAACTCATCGCATTTTCATTTCCAGGTAATTCATTTCACTTTTATCGAGAATTAGAATTCAAATCCTCTTTGAATTCTATTTTTCTTCTCATTCTTATCTGAATTTGAATTCTTTTTCCTGCAAACCGAAGATCGATAAATTCAAGACAGTCCGAAATGGCGCCTCCGATCTTATCTTTGGCTCTTCCTTCAGAGACCGGTCGCGTTCTAAGTATTCAATCTCATACTGTTCAGGTATTTGTTCTCTTTCTCCGTAGAATCTGAGGTTCTAATCTTTCTTTTTTCTGTTTGTTTCTCGAGAAAATTGATTATGGAAGAGAGTTGACTTTTGTGGCCATGTGTTGACTTTGCGTTACTAATAGAGTCGATCAACGGAATTGGAACCTTGTGTTTTATATAAATAGTTGTGTTTGGTTTTGCTTAGTGAAATTTAAGTTAAGAACGAATTTGAGGAAAATTTTAAATATTTGAGTGATTATAATGGAAAAGTTTAAAAATTAAGTGAAATGCGTTTTAATAGGAAGTTTTATGTTAAAAATTGGTAAAGGCTGGCAGTGCTATTGGCTTTGGAGTAATGTGCTCTGTTTTCTGAATTTCCGGCATTTGCTTTTTTGCCGTAAATGTTGGATGGTGATAATGAGGACAAAGTTAGGTGATCTGTGAAACCAGGAAGGTGGAATGATGACGTTGTTAATGATTTGTTGATCTATATTGGTCACAAATGGATCTATTCTCAAGTGTTCTACCATTGTTGTGACTTTAACCTTTTTAGGTTTGTGGTTAAGGGTGCGATATGAGGAAGTATGGAATGTGGTATGTGCTTGCCTTTGTTGGTGGTGATATTTTTTTTTTTTTTTTGGTCTTTCTTGTAAGTTAGCATACTGCTAAGTGCGAACTGAATTGTTGTAAAATTTTAAGCAAAAAGATTATAAATATAAATTATTTCTGCATGTCCTGAGTTTGACTTAATATATGTCCTAGTTTACTTTGATTATCCTACTCCATAGACTAAAAAGATAAGCAATGCTGCCTGGTTTACCCATGCTCTCCATAAAAGAACATATTTTGTGAACAGAGGAAAAGAAAGCAATCTTGCTGGGAGGGTTGTGAGTCAACAAAGTGATTTTCTGATTATGCAAGGGATGGATTATACTTTTAGTTTTCATGTCTAAGTTCGCAATTCAAATGTTACAGAAATATGTTGAAGCAGAATCTGTCTTATGGAACAAACATATCATGTTATTGAGGTTATGATGTAGTAGTTTGTATGGTTTATGAAGGTATATGCTATTGTTCACCCAGGTAGGCATTTCTTAGTAACGCATACTGTGGTGCATGTAGTTTTCAAATGCAATCTTCCTGTACACTGCTGGCATGGTTCTAGATTTGGTAGATTCGATTCCCATATTAACATTTGTGTTGTCTATTTTCGTTTAGGGATATGTTGGCAATAAATCAGCTGTCTTTCCTCTCCAACTATTAGGCTATGATGTGGACCCAGTCAATTCAGTACAGTTCTCAAACCACACAGGCAAGCTGCTTATACTACTTCACTCAAACAGTCTCAGATATACGGTGCGATGCTTGTCAATCTGTATAAGTTCAGGCATGGCTCCCTCGCCAAATTATGGGTCATTTAATGTATCATGAACCTGAAAATTGAGCAGGATATCCAACCTTTAAAGGCCAAGTTTTGAATGGACAGCAACTATGGGAGTTAATGGAAGGCCTTGAAGCAAATGACTTGCTGTATTATACTCATTTATTAACAGGTATGCCAGATCTAATTTCAGCATAATTTTTTTTTTTTTTTTTTTTTAATTTATGAGTACTTCTTCTGTTTACTTGGCTTCAGTTCCTACTGTTATTTCACAGGTTATATTGGTTCAGTTTCATTCTTGAATACTGTATTGGAAGTTGTCAAGAAGCTTCGGTCTATAAATCCAAAACTTACATATGGTGAGTATACTATTCCAGCATATTGGTTTTTGCTTCCTCCCAAGCCCCAGAATAAACGTGTGGATTTAGTCCACCTGAAATCCACCTGAATTGACTTTGACTACAATGTATGCTTCTTATTAAGTTCAGCATACAGCTTACTTGTTTGTTTTAAATGATTATCACCTTTATACCACATGCGTATGAGAGCTCAAAGGTTCTGTAATATATATATATATATATATATATATATATATATATATATATATATATATATATATATAACTAGAAAAAGGGACCTCAGTAAAAATAAAACACTTTGCAGGATGATAGACTTGTCATTTGATATGTCCTCTTGAAGAATATGTAAGTCACTGGAGTACTGGCTAAAGGTTAAAGAGCCGTGGCCTGGACTTGGCTGGACAAGAAACCAAAGATGATTTAGCACAGTTTTGCCTCTGAAAAATTGAGAGACATGTTACTTCTTTTCTTCCATTTAGTTTCTTATGTCTTGGATCTCTCTAGTAAAACTGACTGAAGATATCTTGGGATTGGCCAGAAATATTGTTGTATTTGTTAACAATTGGTCTATATAGAGATCCTTGTGTGCTTGTGCATGATAATGGTGAAACTAAAGCCAGTCATAATTTCAACCAGAAGAGTTGTATTGGCAGTAATTTCTTTTCTATCCATGGTGAGTTTAAAAGAAAATTGGTTCAGTCAATTTCAGGGCTTTAAGCCAGTATTTGTAGTGCTAGGAAGGCTAATAAATATAATCTTGTCTTGTTTGTATGGATAGATTTCCTGCTCTGTGTTTGTCATTTTATCTCTGCTGTAAAAATAGAAAAAGAGGCATTATTACATCATGCATATTTTCCTCTTGTTGTCTTGTTTATTCAAATGAAATAAAGGACGTCTGTTCATGATAACATTATTTCTCTTTTTAGTATGTGATCCTGTTCTGGGTGATGAAGGAAAGCTTTATGTTCCGCCAGAGTTGGTAGCAGTATACCGTGAGAAGGTGATCAGTTCAATCGTTAAACTCATGTGCTTTATTATTTATTAGAATCTCAGACCATGTTTGAAATCTATGGGCTATGTGGAAGCAATATTTAAAACTTTACCCTCAGTTGGGCTGGGATCATTTGGATTAAACAAGTTAGGTGGAAAATAATTATTCATATGATCTAGATTATGGTCTGATTTACTAACTTTTTGATCCAAAGGTAAGTGATAAATTAAAGTTGATGTAATGGTGACAAAGTTGGGGACACCCCATGTTGCAGGTTGTCCCAGTGGCTTCAATGTTGACCCCTAATCAATTTGAAGCAGAACAATTGACTGGATCCAGGTTCTTTTTGATACTGCACAATAGAATGGTGAAGTGATCTTCACTTTTGGTTTTATTGTGTTTCTAATTCTATCAATTTCTTACTAGCCTTCCCAGTTTTTCTACAAACTCTGATTTTTGTTTCTTTTCTTGTTTCAAGGGTATGCTGAATAATATGTGAAACTGAGACTCGGGAATATAATAGCATATCAGTCTATGACCGTTGTATGTTAAATGTGTAAAATTGGAATTGCTATTATCTGTCTACTCTTTGGAAATTTTTGCAGTTAACCCTCACATGGTTTCTTAACTAAAATGTTTTCAGGGGCTTCTCAAATTATACATACAACCAACTTAAAAAATCCAAGTCCTTGCATGATTCAAATGTAATGTCATAATGTTAATCAGGCAGGGGCTTCACCTCTGAGTATATGCCAGTACTAAGATTCATCCATCTATTTTGCGGTCTTTTGAAACTCTAATTTGTGATGGGGCCATCATTCTTATTAGGCATTCTGTTCATATATGCTTCTGTTAAATATTGCTAACATATGTTGCATCTCTTCCTTTTCCGGCACCCATATATCAGTGCTTTCATTCTACTTTCTGGCAGCATTTCACCTTTTGAGGGGTGAATTTCATAAATGAGGTAGTAGTTCATGTAAGATTATCACAAATCTTTGCCCATGTGAACAGCCTTGCTTGTGCTTTTGACTATGGGAGGTGGTTGGAAATATACAATCCCTACTCTTTACTGATGAAAAAGTACACATAGTATGCTTTGTATCTCTTGGAGAAACATGCTTCATAAGCAGTTAATATGCACAATGACTTGAAGGATGCAAATTGACGTGACGTATGCATATCAACTGGTTTTATCTCATGATGATAAGATTTTCAATATCTTCATTCTGCCTAGGTTTAAGGTTTATTCGCCATGAAGCTCTTTAACAATTCAAAACTTCAAATCTGGGTCTTACAACAACAGGGAATAGCTAGTAGTTGTTTCTCAATGTTTTATCTTCTTCTTCCCTTCAATAGTTTGCCTTCTGATAAGATTCTCTATACAGGATTGTATCTGAACAAGATGGTCGGAGAGCTTGTAACATGCTTCATGCTGCTGGACCTTCAAAGGTTTTGATATACTATTGTATCTTGAAATTATTTGAAACCTATGCATATTCAACAGTTCTTGAAATTTAGAACTCGCTTTGTCTTGGTTCCTTGTATTTGTGAATTATATATCCAATTATTGGGTAGCTTAATAACACGAGGTTTATGATCTTATTTGATGTTTCTCATTTTCATGGCATGGTTGTGATACTCAGTGGATTTTTCATTGAGATTGCACTTGTCAATTGCCTTAGTTCTCTACAAACACACTGTATTTTGTGTGTGTGTGTTGGGGGTATCTTAAAAAGATCTTTAGTTGCAAAAATCAACCACATGGTCTTTAACTACCTTTTGTAAGCATTTATATGGAAATTTTGGTTATAAACTGAATGTAATGTTGTTTGATGTTGCTATTGTTTTAATTATATAGTGTAACGTATGAATTTTGATTATTCTCAGGTTGTGATCACAAGCATCAATATAGATGGTCATCTTCTCTTTATTGGCAGTCATGAAAAGGAAAAGGTGGGCAGCCTGATATGTGATGTCATATGTCAAGAATTTACAATTCAATTTTGGGTTCATTTTCATTCCTCCAGAATCCAAGGACTTGTGATAGTTTAGAAGTATCATATTTCATGCCATCACATGCTGTTATTTAGATGCTATTTTCTTGGTCTAGATGGTCATGATATGATGAAAACATCAGCTTCATTTTTGTGTTACCTTGTTTGTGGTTCAGATAGCCATAAAAAAATTGACTGATTTCAAATTCAGATAGCCATAAAAAAAAAGGTTTATTTAACACAAATTGGCTGATAGTGTAGAAGCATTCCTCTTCCTGTATTGTGCAGCAGTTTGAATCGCAAATAAGGTTTCTGTTCGCAGTGGTAATGCTTCTGCTGGTGGTTTTTTTTTTTTTTTTATAGGGCCAGTCTCCTGATCAATTCAAGATTGTGATACCCCAAATTCCTGCATATTTTACAGTAAGAATTCTTTAATTGTGAACTTTATTTCAGATTTTGATGTGGTCATTATACAAATATGCAAATGGAAATCATTAGTGAGGCTTAAGCTTGCACACACACACATTCTTTTCGGTTAATGATTCATTGTTTTAATTAACTCATTGTGCTTGACGCATAAAATTTTCATGTTAGTAATTGGCATTTTTATATTTTTTCAGCTCCGACTATTAAGTAGTATTATCAAGATTTGCATACGCATGGCACTTAATATTTTCTTGTGCTATTCTTGTGAAGGATTACATCAGGTCATGTGTACGTTATTAGCACATGAATCAACTCTACTAGAACAAAGCATTATGAGACTAGAGAAAGTTTGCATTCCTCTCCTTACTATTTTAGTAATTGTTTCCATTCCTCTGAAAGTTTGAGACGTTACAAATATGGTACTTTCATGATGGAATTGTAGCATCTTAAGGGGAAAAAAAAATGAAACTACAGTAATCAATTGTCTCAATATCCTGTGCATGATTGAAATTGTAAAAGAAATCAACAAGCTTTGTCCAGCCCTCAGGGCCAACATGGCCAAGTGGGCTGTTATCATTAGATTGCTGGAATTCATTTTTCATGCCACTTTTTTCTTCTTTTTGTTTTTTCCTCTTGCCTTGATTGCATAGATGAATAATGGAAGGGTGATAAGATGTGCAACTGGGTTCAAGGTAAAGAAGAGACAACTCTTAAACATGAAGTTTATTTAGTAAATATAGCCATAAAGTGCAAACCCACTATTCTGTGAGTGCTATGCGTAGGGATTAATGCTTGAAGTCCTTGGTATGTCCCAGACTCCCAGTGCATGTTTAATCCTAAGATCCCCTGCCTTGGATACTCCAAATAAGAAGGCTTCTATAATGATGCTAACTTTGTAATGAAGCTTCATCAATCCGGACAGATGTAAGCTATAACTAGTATGGACGTTGGAATTCAAATATTGCATCTTAACTGATATCGTACTAGATCTTAAGTCATGTATTCCGCCTTTTATATTGGATTTAAATCACTTTTTTTCCCTTTCTGGTTGGAATAGAGTGAACTATTGAAACCAAAATCTTTGACATGCTTTCGTGCAAATATAGTAATAACATATTGAATATATTTTTTCGTCCTAAGAATGCCCTAAGATCACCTGCTTGGCTTGCTTCATGATAAAATATGATTTGTCCAAACGTTACCCTTTATGCTGTTAAAATTCTAACAATTCTCGTTTGGTTTAGCTTACTATGCTATCCTTACAAGATGCTCATCAATGTATGTATCTCCGTGTGCTTGTAGGGAACAGGGGATCTGATGACTGCACTCCTGCTTGGGCGGAGTAATGTAATGTCTCAGTTGTTTTCCACTTTTGAGTTTATTGCATTCCTTTTTCCATAGTATTTTATTGCTCATCATATTTTCTCTTCGGGCAACTCAGAAATACCCTGACGACCTTGGAAAGGCAGCAGAGCTTGCAGTGTCCAGCTTGCAGGTATTTTTCCTGCTGATATTTGATCTATCTCTTGAATTTCTACCCTATCTATGTTATGTCCCTGCTTATGTATGAAAAAGAAAGGAAACAAGCAGAATGTATTCCCACTTGAAATGCTTCCAATATTATGGGTAAATTATGGTTGAATAATTTTTCGATGTTTCCAATACCTGTACAGGCACTTCTGCAGAGGACTTTAGATGATTATAAAAGAGCTGGATACGATCCCCAGTCAAGCAGTCTGGAGATTAGATTGATCCAAAGTCAGGATGACATTCTCCATCCACTAGTTAATTATAAAGCTGAAAAATACTCCTAAAATGGGACAATTTCAATGTATTTTATTCGTAAGATGTTGTAGCAAATAAGCAGCCGCTTATGGTGTTGGACCTCAAGTAATTCCATTTTAGAAATTTTGCTTATGATGAATCTTGGATATTATCTTTTTTCTTTTAGAAATAGAAAAAGGAAGAAGAAGGATTTAATATGCAAATGAATGGAGGAGGATAAAGCCTTCATGAAAGTCTCAGGTAAAGAATGGTATTTGTAATTTTATAATTAAACATTGTACAATTTGGCTTCCTCTCTCATATCAGGATTACATAGGCAAATGATGCAGAAATAAACACTCTAGGATATCATTCAAACAAGGCTATGCCCACTCAACAAAATCTGAAGAAAGAAAGTGATACGAATTTATATTTGGATCTTGAAGTTGGAAGGTCACAGCAATGCACGTGATGAAATTTCATAGATGTCTTAAAACTAAGGCCCTGCAACTTGATAAATTGGCCTTAGCAGGTAGAGCATCCCTTCGTTAGAAGTCTCGAACTTAAATTCAGAGTCAAATAACACGAAAAAAGAAAAAAAAAATGAAAAATCATAATCACCTTTCCATCACAAAGTATAAATCACAAGCCATTCGTATCTATTCAGTGCTGGAAGAACTCGCAGTAAATAGCTGCTAGCAGAGACAAATTAGGCTGATGGTTTCACGATGCCATTGAGAAATTTTATGCTACACAAGGAGTAATTAGTGACACGTAAACTAGTTATTTCTTGATCTTACTTTGAATAGAGAGAAAAAAAAAAAAAAGAAACAGAAGAGAAAAAATTTTTTTAAAAAATTAAGCAAACGTGAAAATCTTCTTATCATTTTTTATGAGTCCGTATGTAATTTAATAGAAAGTGAGTCCATGAAATAACTATTATATATGCAACTTGTTACTTGTATATTATAAAATTTTTCCAATGCCATTTGATATTTCAGTATCAGAAAATAGGCAGCTCATGCACAAACTGTATCTGATAGTAGATGTGCCACACAACAAAGAAAATTGTCCCAAAAAACAATGATTTCAAGAAATACGACCTAGCTTGTACCTAGATAAATTGGAAAATAACTTAATGTAATAGCCATTATATAATGATAACATAGCATTCCGTTAATGTTTATTTGATGTTACGGATACCTCGATAACGTTTCATACAAATAACGATATTATTGTTATGTAATGTTGTTTTTTGCTATCATATAACAGCACTACACAAATTATATTAAAAAAAAAAAACCATTTTAGACTGAAATTCAACCAAAGAGACAAAGACCCTATAACAACCCACATGATTAATTCAGAAAATAAAAATCAAATACTATTTCCTAGTTTTGATAGTTTAATTGAATAAATTAAAAATTAATCCTTTTATTTTTTTATTTATAGACTTTGATAGTTTGATTGAATAAATTAAAAGTTAGTCCTTTTATTTTGAAAAAAATAATTTAATTATTAACTATTTAAAAAGAAAATTTTACAATGTGTATATTGAAATTATAATATATTTTATTATTTTTTTATGTGATATTAATTTATTAGAAGTGTTATTAATTATTTTTTTATAATAATTTTAACTATTATTATATGATATTAAACTATTAAAAATGTTATTACTTATTAATATATTTAATTGATAAAATTATTAAAAATATATAAATTAAAATAAATTTATTAATAATTGTTATTGTGCCGCAAGCTCCCAACCGTAATTTTGCTACCGTCATCCTGGTAGTCACCGTCATTTTTTCAACCACAATCACTGTTTAAAACTACAGTTCAAACTAATTTCATCAAAAGCTGAATCCTACTTAACATCAATGGTAAAGCAGTATTCCTGGTCACAACCGAGATAAGAATCACACATGAAGAAAAGCGTGTGTATGTCCATGTTCGTCGTTCAACTGGAGCGGCAAAATCAAGCTTCAACTTCAATCTGTCTTGCAAGAAAACCTTCTTAATGCTCATCAGTCGTTCACTTTTGGTATCACCAATTACCAGCCACCATCTTCTTCTTTGGCTTCAGAATATCTTAGGGCATGCACAGGCCCCACTTCCTCCTCCAATCTTCCATCCAAATCCCTTTGAAGGGAGGCCAGCAAGGCAACAGTTTCTCCAGCTCGCACAGTATCACCATCCAACACCTCATACATCACATCAATGTTTGGATACCTGTAACAAAATTGTGCAACATCTAGTGACTCCAAATCCGACAGCTGCAGAATCTCCTATCTCTTGTCGTCCTCTATCTCCACCAAATCAAACACACTCTCTATGCTCTGTCCTGGATTCTCTTGGCATTTCTTAGCTAAATCCTTTTGTGAAGTGTGGAACCTGCAATAGAATGGAATCACACTCCCACATTCCTTGAATCAACATTTGACTGACTTCCATTGCCAGAAGAGCAAGACTAAGCCACTCGTTCGTAGATATAACATCTATCATTGAATGGAGTAATCGATTTGCCAAAAGCAGAACATCTTGCTGGTCAAATAGAAGGTCTGAGGTCAGTATCTGTCTTGAAAAGTGAGCTCGTAGCAGCACATTTGCTTTTAGATTTTGAATCTAAGCAATTTGGACTCCCAAGGGAAAACCTCTGGTGATTAATTAACCTCCGCGTTAACTCTTCCTCCAGGAATTGCATTGGAAGTGATGAATACTCTGAAGCTGAAGCGAGAATGTCCAGTAGACCCTTTATGCCAGGTTTTGCATTCAAGAAGAATTAAACTGTTCTATGGTCGTGCAACTGAGATGATAACATGCAGCTATCGTACCAAGGTTGGAAACTCTAAGATTCATGTCGTCCTCAGTAAAGATGCATCCACTTGCTTCCAAATCACTCAATGTATTATCCACAAGCTCCGAAAGATGGTCAGATAGATGCCCGGGACAAACTCCTTGAAGGTTATAATAGTTTGGATTTTGAGTGAGCCTCCTGTACATGAATGTCCAGGTGAGGTAATCCACAGCGTCCTGCTTGTTTGTAATGACTTGAGCAGCAACTTCTGAATTCAAATACTCAAGTAGAAAGAACTGAAAATGGCTTTCAACTGGGAACGCTTCACATAGAAACGTTTTGTAATATTCTTTACGAGGTGCGTGGCAGAGGATGACACATGTAGCAGAGTCATCTACAACAGGTTGACCAGCACAAACTTGAATCTTCCCAGATCCGAATAACAGTGTGAAAACTTCTCGATCCGTACTGCTTAAGCCCTCATGGATCAGTGTAGCTTTCATTTTCGTGGGCCACTTTCTGGAGCTGATTTGGTTTACATGCTAACAAGGCCAATATTTCAGGGTATGGACTTATCATCTTCAATTCTGAATCCCAGACGTATGCTTTCTTCTGCCTTGTTTAGATACCAGGCCATGTGAATCTGCACCCTCGAACTGGTTCCAGACTTCTGGTCAAGGAAAGAATAAACCTCATGAGTCTTTGGATATATAAGAGCTGCCATGAGCTAAAATTTGGTTCATTGTAAAATTATGCTCAGGATTCTTTGATGAGCATGAATCTGATCTGTGGAACAGCTTCTGGTCAAAAGAACTTAATGATGAGAACTGATGAGGCTTTGCATGCGATGACACTAAGTTTATTTGGTAATTTTCTATCCCATAAACATCCTTCTGGTGAAATTATTACATGTTTTTAACTTGCCTCGTTTTCCTCCCTAGCCATGTTAATGGCAAGAATCGGACAGTCTAGACCTTGACTGACTATTAAATTTTGGGGTTGCTAGTTCATGTTTTAAGAGTATTTTAACTTCTACATAAACGATGCCTTTGGTTTCCCTGTTTTAGTTTTCACGCCCAATGATGACAGGATGTAATTCAGATTGTTAATCTATTTTAAATGATAGAATTGAAGGAGATGCAGGATCAAGCACCTTAGAATATCTTCATTCCAAGAATTTGTATCCTTAACCCTTCGTTTTTTTTGCTTTTGGTGCAGCTAAAATCCTTCCTACTTCTGGTGCTAAATCCTCTATTCAATGATATTCTGTTATGGTCCTCAGCAATAACTCATAATCTCCATCCAGTGTTCTTGATGCCCCTTTCAGGTATCGTGCTATTTCGTATCGTAAGATTGTTACTGGGTTGATACCTGGAATTTCCGAAGAATATCTTTCTTTACCAGTTGATGAGCAGTAGAGTATGCAACACAGTAATCAAATGTTGTCCAGTGCTAGCAACTTTTATATAGCGAACCTTATAGTTTCTTTCTTTCTTTTAACATTATCGATTATAGGAAAAGACTATTGCTTTCTTGTGGTTGATAGCTTTGATTTCTGCAATTCTCAATTCTTGTACACACTAAATGAGTTCAAGTTGCTGACATATCCTTATTTCGGTGTTGGCTTTAACTTGTAATTTTTTATTTTCCTAAAGTTTCGAACCATGGGTTGTCCATAACCTGAGAACAAGAAGTCAACTGCAGCAGGGGACAGAGCAAAAGTTTGTCTCTGTAACTTAAGAAAAAGAATTCCAATGAGTTGGAAGAGTGATAAATATGACTTTTGCCATTTTCTAATCTGCTTGTTAGTTTTTGAAATGTTTCAGCTGCACCATTTTTGACAGCACCAGCCCAGCTTCAAATCCTTCTACTACTTCTCAGATGTTTTTATCGCAACCAGAAAGAAAGTTCAACGACGTTATCACTGGGAGGTGAAATCAGGGGCAAACCTTTTGTTAGCGGCGTATGAAGTTAATTACAACTCAGTCATTGTTAGTTAACAAAATGAATTAATCAATCCATGAAGTTTAAAAAATATTACATCATTCTTATAGTTTTGTACCCACTTGCAATTTAGTCCTTCTCTTCAATTTCACGTTCATTGTATTTTTTTTAATTAAAAAATAGATAGTAGAAATAGGCGAGATAGGAAAAATTGAGGGAAAAAAAGATATTTTTGCAAGAAAGAAAAAACTACTAAATTAAGTACAGCATGAGCAAAATTTGCAAGAGCCTACGTAAACTACGGTCTCATTTCTCGCATTTGCTCGTTTTTTATACGTCAGCTCCCTCTTCTCCTCATTTTTTTCATTAAAAGGGTGTGTTTTGTATATGCTAAATAAGAGAGGACAGAAATTGGATTGATGGAATTAGAGATGATTAAATAAGTGTACATTCTTGTTCTGTGTGTGAAGGAATGAAGTTTTTTGCATAAATTCATTTTCATCTTTGAAAATTTTCGGACAATTTATTTTAGTTTATACTAGCATATATCCCACGCGTTGCGATGGTGTGAGTTATACAATATTTTTATGTATTCATTCATATAAAATATAAAATTTAAAAATAATTATGTAAAAAGATCACGTGAAAAAAAATTCGGAGTGAGTTATACAACATTCTTAAGTATTTATTCATATAAAATATATAGTTTAAAAATAATTATTTAAAAGAATCACGTAAAAAAAAATTAAAAAAAGAACCAAAATATATATTTCATGTTTTGCCGTATGGTTAGCTAAACGAAAAGTACGTAGCAAAGTTGAGTAATATAATGTTGCTAATTAGATATTATTTAATATAAACATATATTTTATTAGAATTATATATAATAACTGGTAATTAAAATAATAATAGGGTAGTTTTTTAAAATTTAGATGATTAATTTTTATCATCTATTTTTCATATGTAATTTGTTAATGAGATAAAGAGACCACTCAAAACAAAAAGACAAAAAAATTTATCAAATCGAGAATTTGGCAAAAAAAAAAAAAAATAGAGATAAAATTACATACGATAAAAATTAAATAATCAAAACAAAGTAAAGATCATAAAACAATGATAAAAAAAAACTTATAAACAATAAGACTTGTGAACATTTTTACTAAAATTCAAAAAACAAATATTTATTATAGAGACAAAAATCAAATATAATAAAATTTTAATATTTATTATAGGAAAAAAAATCAAATATAATAAAATTTAAATGACTAAAATAATAAAAGGTTACAAAAAAGGAAAAAAATATAAATAAAATTCTCTAAAAGCCAAAAGGGGGCTTAGAAAATACGGGAAGAGAAAAAATGATTTACTATAGGAATAAAAATTAAATATAATAAAATTTTAATGATCAAAATAAAAAAAGTTACAAAATATAGACTAAAATAAATGAAAATAAAATTTTTAATATTTATTATAGGGACAATAAAATTTAATAAAAATTTAATAACATAAATAAAAAAATTATAAAACGAGAGATTAAAATAAAAAAAAAATTCCCTAAAAGCCAAAAGAAGAGCTTAAAAAATGCAGCAAGAGGAAAAATTTTGATTTATTATAAAACTAAAAATCAAATATCATAAAATTTTAATGACTAAAATAAAAAAAAGTTACAAAATAGGGATTAAAATGTAAAAGAGAAAGAGAGAGAGAGAGAGAGAGAAAAACCTGGCTGCAAGCAAGGCAAGGCAAAAGGGGAAAAAAGAAAGAGAGAGGAAAAAAAAGGGTTACAGGCAAGGCAAAAAAAAAAAAAAAATGAACGAGTGAATGAATAGTGGAAATACTAAAATACTTTAGCGTTTTGTTTTAGTTTTTTTATTATCGTTTTTGCTCACGCTACGCTGCGGGTTGAATAAAATATATAAAATCGTTTACAAAAATTATTTTAGTTTGATAGTCTGTTTTATGGTGTGAATCTATAAAAATATATAAAATAAAAAATAAAAAAATTAATTATAATTTTTTAATAAAAAAAATTTATATTTAACTATTTCTTATTTGTGTTTTTCATAATTTTTCCTCTAGAAAAAGATTTATCATTGTTAATCTATGGATTATTAACTAAAAGGAAAATTAAATAATTTTTTTAAAAAAAGCTTTAGTATTTTATAAGATTGTTTCCAAAAACATAAATAACAATTATTAAAAACTTACATAGAATTGAAAAAATTATTTTTTTATTTAATATTGATGAGAATATCAGTTTTTGAAAAAATATGAATTTAATTTTTATATATTTATTTACAAAAGAATGAATAATATTAAAATAAAAAACTATATTAATTTGAATTATTGAGTGATTAAGGCAAAATATAATTTTAATTATTTAGTTTAAAATAAGTTAATTTTAAAATATTCAAAAATAAATAAATAAATAGTAATTGCTTAGTGTAGTAGTAGTTGTACGGTTAATTTCTAAAAAACAATGATTCGATATTTTTTTATACATCATAACTATACTAGGTGAGTTTAGAGTTTTCACTCTAAAACAAAAAATACTATAAAAAAAGTTAATTTGAAAGGAATCTATTGACTAAATTTGAAGTCAATAGACTAAAATAAAAATTATTACAAATTAATAAAACATGTGAATTCTCTTTTTTTTCCCTCCTTCTTAAATATTTTTTTTTATTTCTATGCTATGCATAGCTAGCCGTTGAATACGAGGCCTCACGAGCAAAGCAACTATCTTTTTTTTTCACATTTTACTTTCAACTATTAATTAATTAATTTGAGTTTTTTTTTCTAAAAAAAACCAAGAAAAAATGATTTAAAATACACTTTTAATCTAAAAATGTATTTTCGACAAATTATATATATTAATCATGTCATTATAATTTAAAAGTTACCTAAATCTATTTTTCAAAGAAAAAATAATCATGTTTTAAAAATTTATTCCAAAATCCATACATATAGAAAAATAAATCAAAACTATCAATAAATATAATTTTAAATTAATTGGATGAGAATTTTAAAAAAATGACAAATTAAGTAGTAAATTTTAAATAATAAAAATAATTAACAAAAAATTCTAAAACAAAATGGGACCAAATCACAATATAATCAAAGTTTGAAATTAAAAAAGAAAAAAATTGAAAAAAAATTGACAAATTAATGTAGTAAAATTTAAATAATATAAAAATATTAAGAACAAATTATTTGAAACACACTTTTAATCTGAAAAATATATTTCAGACAAAATTATATATATTAATCATGCTACTATAATTTAAAAATTATCTACATCTATATTTCAAAAGAAAAAAAAATCATGTTCGAAGAATTTATACCAAAATCCACACATATAAAAAAATAAATTAAAGCTCATAGGTATATATAATTTTAAATTAATTGAATGATAATTTTAAAAAATAATAAATTAGAGTAGTAAATTTTAAATAATAAAAATAATTAACAAAGAAAACTAAAACAAAATGGACCAAATCACAATATAATTAAAGTTTGAAATTAAAAAAATGACAAATTAACATAGTAAATTTTAAAT